AGACTAGAAATAACAATATTAGAGTGTTGGGATAACATCCATAGTACAAAAGATGATGAAAAATAAAGGTTAGGTGGTTTGGGCATGTAATATAGAGAGAAGGCATGTGGATTTTGTAGTAAGGGTAGATAAAAATGAAGGGTATCCAAACAACTAGAGGTAGGGAGAGGCCTAGAAACACCATAAGAGAAACTATTAGAAAATACCAAGTTGGATAGAAACATAATTTTTGACTGAATGTTATGGCGTAGTTTGATACATATAGCCAACCCTACTCGGTGGAATAAGGCTTGACTGTTATTGTTGTTGTATATCTTAAGAATTGTGGTTGGACTTAACTCAAAATTACAAAACCAAGTTGTAAGGTGAGAATTGCCTCCATTTATCAACATATCCCTTTTCCTTGTAGATTACACAACAATGCCAAAATTCCCATATTTGTCCTTTAGGTGTTCAATTAATATACATGATTAAACAATCAAGTCATTAGCTAATCACAGTTAGTAGTATTAATAAACAAAAAATGAAAAAATTCCATCATCCAATGACATCAAACACATAAAACATACCAGAGAAATCAGGGGGGCTTCCTCTTCATCATTAGTGACATGAGTCATCAAAGCCAGGTTCTTTACTAGTCCACAAGCTTCGCCTTCAGGAGTATCACATGGACAAAGCATGCCCCACTGTATCAAAGAAGAATTTAGAAAATAAGATACAAAAAGTTCATAAGTGAAAACAATTTTTTAAAATCTAGAATAAAAGGCCGTGCAACATAAGAGCACAACAACAATAAAGCCTTTAGGTAAGCTACAAAGATGAAACAAAATCATCATGTTCTATCCAAAAAACAATGCAATATAAGAATGATATATCAAGAAGGTTCCCGAGTGGACAGCAGCTTACCTGGCTAGGCTGCAAAGCTCTAGGGCCACTTACTTTCCGGGACTTCTCGAACTGTGGCTGGACTCTTGTCATTTGACCTAAAGCACTTATAAATGACAACCTCTGTAGCACCTGGAAAAAAAAATTCATTAGAAGAAATATTTGCAGATAGAAAGGAAACATCAGAAAGGGAAACAATAAACAACCTGTGTCACTCCACTTTTTTTCATCCTGAACCTTTTAACCTCAAAATTACCAGTTGACAGCGTCCTTTCCAAACCAGGGGAGATACAATCGCGAGTAACAAGTATCTATAAACACACCCATAGATACTAGGATCAGTTTGGATTAAAAAACCAACAACATAAAAAATGAACACATAAGATGATGATGTAACCGATGAAGTATGCCTTTCATGTGTACAAATAATCCGCATTTAAAAGATTTTATATTGATGATGAATATGATAAATTTTGGAGCTTCCCAAGAAAACATGACTCTATCATGATCAGAGATTTGCAAGTAAATCAGTGTCCATATGTTTTGTCAACTTCATCTATGCTGAGGCATGCATTACTGGTATCCAACAAAAGTATGTGTAGTTGATGCATGTTGTAATCAGATGACAATCAACGCTTTGAAAAAGAATCATCTTGGACAAATAAATAAATAAATAAAGGATCATCTTGGACAGACAAGTCCAAATAAATATGAGGAATGACATGGAAAAAGAATTGAATAAAAGGAACTCTGAAAGAGGGATCAGCCGTAGACTTTTGGGTAGACTTTTGGATAGCTTCAGAGAGATTGGATTTGATTAAAAAAACGCTTTGATTTCATTCACATGATTAATTAGAAGTATTAGAAAGAACTTACACGAGAGAAGTCAAAAATTTTAGCCTTGTCTGACTTTTCCAAATTTTTGTCTGCCTGAATCTTAACATCAAATGTCATAGACTTAAAAAGATCCTGAAAGAAAGAAGAATAACTTATGCAATGAAAGATGCGCAACGTATAGTTGCAGAAATTAGTTGTATACTAATTTCAACAAGATAGTACCTTAAAAAGAAGAGAGATCAACTGGCCAGATAACTCCAATCGCTTGTTACCCACATAATCCTATGAGTTGAAAGAAACAGTTAGCTGATAGTAGCTATTATTGCCCAATGCCAACACATAAACACAATTCTACACAGGCAGAGTACATGTTATATGATTTTAACTTAGAACTATACAAATTGTGCATATGAGCTTTCATAATAAAAGCACTAATTAGGATAGAAAATAAAAGAGAAGCTGTCTCAGTTGTTAATGTATGTTATTGCAAAACAGAAACTCAGTTTCACTGTATTCTTTAATTTCTAGTACTGCTTTAAACATGATAAGCATTTCAAAACTATGGAACTGCCAAACTCTTGAGTAATTTTCTTTTATATTTTTTACTTATAATTAAAACTCTTGAGTAAAATGATACTATCAACCTCATTCAAACCAAGGTAGGCATATGCGACAGCTAATCACATTCTCTATGGATGGAATCTTAGGCGAAAGAAGAATATGGCTCCAAATTGACTTGTAATTCTTATGAAGGTCGTGAAGAACAGTGCATATCTCAACTATTAAGTAAAATTGAGTTCCAAATACTTAAGACCTCGTGTTAAAGAGAAGATACTACCTTGTCATCCATCGCATCCGCATTTAGAATTGCATCCATTATGCGTCTTATCATAACAGTAACATATATACATTTCGGCCGAAAATTATCTTCGTGCACCTAATGACAACAGAAGAAGCGGCTAATCAGATGAAACCTAAACCAGGTCAGGCAAATTACATGTATTACAATAGAGTGAAATCAAGTTGTAAAATGTTGAAACTTTCAGGGAAAAAAAGAAGACCCTTAAAACTCATAATGTTCTTATGATTCAAAGAAAACTTACCGGTACGTTTGCAAGAAAGACATCTCTTAGAATAGAAAATGCTCTTCCTTCCTACATAAGAGTTTCAAATAACAAGTCAGAAAATTGTTGAAAAAAGAAAAATTTATACATTATTTTATACATAGAAAGAGAATGCACTAATAGACAAACTAATGACATGAGAGAGATAGAGAGATTAAAACCTTCTCAGCTTGCGTGTTTTGAAACATGGAACGTTTTGCCTGATGTGCACACAAGCCATTAGCAATAAACTTAACAAAACTAAATATTAAGTATATGTATGTAAAATTAGAAACATAAGTATATAATTAAAACCGGAAACTGCCTGTTTGAAATAGTTAAATCCGTTGTATGTTTCCCATTAAGTATGTGTTTGGCAACAATGCCAGTGACCGCTGCCGCATGTTCACATCCTTTCCACCGTGACTTTCTGAAGCTACTATTGGTAGCTTTTACAAACCGTGCGGTATTGCCGTGATTTTTACAGAGTTCCAAACATAGGCTAAAAAACATTTGTCTTTAGGTTCATGTGTGTTTAGATTCATGCATTTAGGGAGTTGAACTTGTATTTATTTCTCCTTGTAAACATAACATGTAATTACTTATGTAGTGTGTATAAATATCATGGTTGCCGAGTGTTTCTCACTCAAGCACATACAGAAAATTTCTTATTCCTATTTTTCACATGGCATTAGAGCTCCTGATCTAGGGGACTCAACTTCTGCAAATAATTCACTTCACAGGAGAGAACCTACCCTCAAGAGTTTCCCCTTCATTGGAGAGAATACTCTATTCACTTTACAGTATTCCAAAGATACACTATTCACTGTGTTCTCTTATTTATACACATACTATCTATAACAACCTCAACTAACTAACTACTCTAACAACTTTAACTACTTTAATTTCTCTTTATTCTTTAGTCCTAAGATAAAAGCATCAAATTCAATTAGATATAAGAAAGAAAATACAAAGTCTAAGATTGTGAACAGAGTGGAAGATCTAAGAATAAGTGAATTTAGAACAAACCAAAGCCCGCCTACTAATGTACTAAACTACAAAACTCAAAAACAAAAAATAAGAATGAAAAACACTTCAGAACATTTACAGGAAAAGTTTTCTTTTCTCCAAATTGGAAGTTTTCCCGACACAATATCACTCTACCACAAATATTGCAATTGGATAAACTATGTGAAAGGAAAAACCATGGAGAAATTGAATAGAAACTGGCACCAATAGTGAAATTGTTCTAGAATGTCCTAGAATAACTGACTGAAAGATAAAACATAACTGCCCTAAAATAACTGTTTGATAGAATAAAATCTGCCACATTCAGTTTTGATTCCCAATAATTCCTAATAGGAGGTCAAATCTAACCAAATCCTTTGTGAATGGGAATAAGACAGAAGAACTCACTTTTGAATCAAGGTACTCCAATACTTGGGCTTGTGTAAATACACCACTTTTTGTACATTCCTGATTAGAGAGCAAACATATTAAAACGTAACATAAATAATAATAATAATAATATAATACGCTTTGTTACGCTAAGAAAGAGCAGATAATTATATAGTTATTATATGAGCAATTAGCTTCTACCATCCATTATAATCAAATGTGTGTGGAAAAAATTTTAAACTTGACAAACGAGGCATTTGGAAGAGCTTATCATAAGTATTTGTATTGATGTTTGGATATACTTAGAAAAATAATCTATGACATGTCCATCTTGTCAAAAAACTTTTTGTCCATAAGTTGTTTTAGCTTATTAAATAATTATCATCTTAATAATAAGAGCTAAGTTTAAGCTCCCCAAAGTTGTTGGGTGAATGAGACCTTAGTTTATTGTAACGCATCCCTAACCAAACATACATGTCAATTACCTCAATGGAGGGCAAAAGTAGCAAACTGTAACGAGGATCTCTTCCAATCAATTGTACAACTTCTTGATCACTCTCCATCCCCATAGCTTTCATTACAACCATAAGAGGAACCTATTGGATATAACAAGAAGTAAAAATTACCAAACCCAAATTATAATGCAATCAAAAGGCTAAAGGTGAAAAACACAATGAAAACGCCAAAGTGCAAACCTTTTTTGGAAATTGATTCAATTCTAACCACATCTTCTCTTTTTCCATCAAAATGGTAGTTTTTGTTTTTATTTTGTCTGTGCTACTTGTAACAGATGCAGTAATGCTGAAAGCCAAAATAGGAACCAAAATATGTTTTAAAATAACATGGAATAGGACAACCCATAATCTAACATGGCGGGATAAATGCAAAACACATAGAAAGCTAACAGTAATTTAGTCAACAACTTTCGAGATAGAGAAAATAAAACTTAATAGAGGGGGAAAATGCAGAAATACTACTTCAGGAAGAATAACATAACCACCAACAAAATAACCAAAAACATGAATGTATCCCATTAAAACCACAGTTCATATCTGTAAAAATTAACATCACAATTATAAATCAAAATAGTACAGTTTTCTAAATTCATAATCTATTCTGCAACACTTATATTTTGAGGGTAAAAGTAGAGTTCACAGGGAGAGAGATACAAGAGGAGCACTAAGCACAATGGAGTGATAAACAATCACTCAAGAAACCAAAACTAGAAAAGAGAAGAAAGAAATTAAAAACGGAAGAAAAAAGCAGCCAAGAAAAGATTATGAAGAAAGAAGAGAAAGCAATTTGATGGACACCAAATGACACATGAGGAAAACAAATTTTCTTACTGGATATGAACTGAAAAGGAAAGAAATGCAGAATAATCTATAGAGCTTATAGCTTCAAAAGAGAAATTTCAAGCTTCTTAATTTATAAATGAATGGCTATCAAAAAACAAAAATAGAAAACCCCAGCAAATGTTTTTCACCTAGTACACCTTTGTTTTGTTTTTTTTTTTATCTGGGAGGATTATCTTTATTGTTTTCGGTATTGTTATAATGGATATAAAATGTAAAACAATTTACTCATGAAAGTATATCTCATTATTTCCTTGCTGGCAGTTAGATGTTCTACCATAACCCATGCTTCAGAGCCAAATACAAAATGGAAGATACCAAAAAATGAACCTTACAAGTTACAATTATTATGAAAGCACTATAATATCTAATCTGAGAGAGAAAAATTATCCAAAAGCACTCTTACTTGCTTACCAGGTATGATAAATTGGGAAATAAGGAGAGGGCAAAAATCATAAAATTACATATGATGAGCCCGTTGTTGCCACGGTGGAACATCTTCATCTGTGTTTGGTACAAAATAGTTTGGTTACTCGTCATTCAGAACATAACCTGCAGACTTGATGCTCAGAAATGGGTCAATTATAAAGCAATGCTTCAAAGCTAATGAAAAATCATAAGTATACTCGAAAAAAATGGTAGTGCACGATTCTGTTCATTATATAATCGTTATATTTTACACCAGAACTCAGAATCACAAACTTCTTAAGCGATTAAACATCTCGACTGACACTTTCAACAAATCGGAATTACAAAATGAAGATGCTAATGAACTCCAAACAGAAATTTCAGGAAGTTTCCCCTGGCTAATCATGTCCTCCAACCACATAACAGCTTCGTATTGCCGACCTAAGGAACAAAGACCCTCAATGAGCAAATTGTAACTATTGGCACAAGGCCAATATGATTTAATTGACATTTGCTCCAAAAGTTTGCTTGCTTCAAGATACTTTCTCTCATGACAAAGCATCTCTAGTAAAATGCTATACGTTTCTTTGTCGCCCATGCAACCTACCTTTTTCGACATCTTGTTCAAGCTCTCGAGCACTAATGTCGAACTTCCAACATTACTAAGGTTTTTCAAGAGAATATTATAAACCCTAACATTTGGTAGACAATTGACTTCCACCATGTCCTCTTCAATTACCTTGATCGCTTCATCGACCTTATCAACCTTGCACAATGCAGCTACCTTTGCCTCAAAAATCAAATGTTTTGGTTTAAAGCCTTTGTTTTTCATTTCAACGATAACTTTATCCGCCTCGTCTATCTTACCTTCTTCGTATAGATCAACCGCCATGGCATTATAACTAGCAGTGCTAGGAACTGAACCCCTTACCAAAGCTTCGTGAATCCACCGTTTAGTAACTTCCGCATCTTTACCATCACCACACTGACTAAGATCAAGTTGGTTATAGCATCGCTTTGGAGCTTTCAGTCCTTTCCTCAAAATCTTACCAAGAATTTCCACAGCTTCTTCGAACTTTCCATCATCACATAAAGCATCCAAAAGAGTCCTATAGATTACAACATCCTCGCCATTACCTTTCAGAGAGATTCTCCAAAACATTGAATACAACAAATGAGTAGCCTCATGTAACCTCTTATCCTTACACAATCCCTTCATTACAACAAGATAACTATCTCTATCAGGATAACAACCTTGATAATCCATCTCTTGAAATATCTGCAACGCCAAATCCGATCTATTCTTCCGACACAAAGCATACATAAGCAAATTCAACGCCCAAACGCGAGACTTCACTTCCCAACCACAAGAACTCTCAACAAAAAGACCATGAGCATCTTCAAGCTTACCCTCATTCACCATTATTTCCAAAAGGGTATTGAAAGATTGTGTCCAATTCACACAGTTAAACTGAGGAATCTTCTTATATAGAGAGATTGCTTCATCTACTAGCCCTTGTTTTGCATATGTCTTAATTATGGACACAAAGACAGAATCTTTGCACTCACATGAATCTTGTTTCATTTGGTCAATCAAATCACTCATCTCTTTGAGTCTACTTGATGATCCAAGGATAGCGATCATGGTGGCATAAACAGGACCATTGTGGAAATATTTAGGGTATTTTGATTTGGCTATGTTGAAAATTTCCAAAGCCTTTAAAGGGTTATTTTGAGTTCTTATAATCTGAGAAAGCTGAGTTGGCCACCTTATACTCATAGCTTTTAGGGTTGAGTTCTTATAATCTGAGAAAGCTGAGTTGGCCACCTTATACTCATAGCTTTTAGGGTTTAAATTTGGAGTAGAAGAAATAAAAAATCAACAGAAAGAATCTCAATTTTAGAAAAACTTTGAAAAACAAGAGTAAAAACAAACCGGTGGCGGCGCTTGAACGTTGTTGACAATGGAACGGCGGTGAGTGGCGGGAAGAATTGATTGATGGGTATGTCGGTGGTTAGTGGCTGCGGTTGTTGTTGACGGAGACAACGGCGGGGAGAAGACGCCCAGTTGGGCTGGTTTGATTAAGCCGAAGAACCGCAGTTTCAATCCAAGAAAATCAGGTGATTACCGAGGTCCCTAAATTCGAAAGGTAGGAATTTAAGCCGAAGATAACCTCCTAACCTTCGAAGAATCGAATCAGACAGCTAAGAATCAGCAGAAGACAGGAAACAGAGGTTGAAATCAGGGATAAGATTAAGAAATTGGAGTTAGGGTTAGGGATCGGGGGTTTTTCCTGTTGATCGTGTTAATTGAGTTTGATTGGTATAGTATAGTTATCTTAATAGAAAACTATTCTTTTAAGCCCTACCAAAGAGTTGTCTTGATACTGTCCAAAAGAAAAAGGAATTTTCTCGATTTTTTTCCATGGATAAAGAATCCTTGCTGCAAAAGATAGAGGTCCCAATTGGATAAATCCAACAACGCAGCAGATGCTCAAAGGTAGATAAGGAATATATAAATTTCAGTATTAAATGAAAAATATAGGATTCTACTGTATTATCTATAAAATTCGCCACTCAAATAGGATATATACTAAATGTCATTGACTTATTATAAAATTTGTCACAAAATTAAAAGTGTCAAGATGAATCTAACAACTAGAACTCAAATAGTATATATCCATAGGGGGAAGTGGTATTTTAGAAAAGAAAAATAAAAGTGTTTTTTAATAAAAAGTGGGGAAATAGCATACCACATGATTTAGCTTCCGGCGTTAAGGCCCAAATATATAACTCAAACCAGCCCAATTGGCCCAATCTCGCGTCTTCTCCTTCCACTGTTCAGTTCCATCGTTGTCTCCGTCAACAACAAAATTCGCCACTCAAATAGGATATATACTAAATGTCATTGACTTATTATAAAATTTGTCACAAAATTAAAAGTGTCAAGATGAATCTAACAACTAAAACTCAAATAGTATATATCTATAGGGGGAAGTGGTATTTCAGAAAAGAAAAATAAAAGTGTTTTTTAATAAAAAGTGGGGAAATAGCATACCACATGATTTAGCTTCCGGCGTTAAGGCCCAAATATATAACTCAAACCAGCCCAATTGGCCCAATCTCGCGTTTTCTCCTTCCACTGTTCAGTTCCATCGTTGTCTCCGTCAACAACAACCACCGCCACTAACCACCGACATACCCATCAATCAATTCTTCCCGCCACTCACCACCGTTCCATTGTCAACAACGTTCCAGCACCGCCACCGTTCTGGTTTGTTTTTACTCTTGTTTTTCAAAGTTTTTCTGAAATTGAGATTCTTTCTGTTGATTTTCTATTTCTTCTACTCCAAATTTAAACCCTAAACCCTATAAGCTAATCGCTTTGCAAAAGTATAACTATGAGTATAAGGTGGCCAAGAGTGTTAAATCCAACTCAACTTTCTCAGATTATAAGAACTCAAAATAACCCTTTAAAGGCTTTGGAAATTTTCAACATAGCAAAATCAAAATACCCTAAATATTCCCACAATGGTCCTGTTTATGCCACCATGATCGATATCCTTGGATCATCAAGTAGACTCAAAGAGATAAGTGATTTGATTGAGAAAATGAAACAAGATTCATGTGAGTGCAAAGATTCTGTCTTTGTGTCCGCAATTAAGACATATGCAAAACAAGGGCTAGTAGATGAAGCAATCTATCTATATAAGAAGATTCCTCAGTTTAACTGTGTGAATTGGACGCAATCTTTCAATACCCTTTTGGAAATAATGGTGAATGAGGGTAAGCTTGAAGATGCTCATGGTCTTTTTGTTGAGAGTTCTTGTGGTTGGGAAGTGAAGTCTCGCGTTCGGGCGTTGAATTTGCTTATGTATGCTTTGTGTCGGAAGAGTCGATCGGATTTGGCGTTGCAGATATTTCAAGAGATGGATTATCAAGGTTGCTATCCTGATAGAGATAGTTATCTTGTTGTAATGAAGGGATTGTGTAAGGATAAGAGGTTACATGAGGCTACTCATTTGTTGTATTCAATGTTTTGGAGAATCTCTCTGAAAGGTAATGGCGAGGATGTGTAATCTATAGGACTCTTTTGGATGCTTTATGTGATGATGGAAAGTTTGAAGAAGCTGTGGAAATTCTTGGTAAGATTTTGAGGAAATGACTGAAAGCTCCAAAGCGATGCTATAACCAACTTGATCTTAGTCAGTGTGGTGATGGTAAAGATGTGGAAGTTACTAAACGGTGGATTCACGAAGCTTTGGTAAGGGGTTCAGTTCCTAGCACTGCTAGTTATAATGCCATGGCGGTTGATCTATACGAAGAAGGTAAGATAGACGAGGCAGATAAAGTTATTGTTGAAATGAAAAACAAAGGCTTTAAACCAAAACATTTGATTTTTGAGGCAAAGGTAGCTGCATTGTGCAAGGTTGATAAGGTCGATGAAGCGATCAAGGTAATTGAAGAGGACATGGTGGAAGTCAATTGTCTACCAAATGCTAGGGTTTATAATATTCTCTTGAAAACCCTTAGTAATGTTGGAAGTTCGACATTAGTGCTCGAGAGCTTGAACAAGATGTCGAAAAAGGTAGGTTGCATGGGCGACAAAGAAACGTATAGCATTTTACTAGAGATGCTTTGTCATGAGAGAAATTATCTTGAAGCAAGCAAACTTTTGGAGCAAATGTCAATTAAATCATATTGGCCTTGTGCCAATAGTTACAATTTGCTCATTGAGGGTCTTTGTTCCTTAGGTCGGCAATACGAAGCTGTTATGTGGTTGGAGGACATGATTAGCCAGGGGAAACTTCCTGAAATTTCTGTTTGGAGTTCATTAGCATCTTCATTTTGTAATTCCGATTTGTTGAAAGTGTCAGTCGAGATGTTTAATCGCCTAAGAAGTTTGTGAATTTGAGTTCTGGTGTAAAATATAACGATTATATAATGAACAGAATCGTGCACTACCATTTTTTTCAAGTATACTTATGCTTCTTCATTAGCTTTGAAGCATTGCTTTATAATTTAGCCTTTTCCGAGCATCAGGTCTGCAGGTTATGTTCTGAATGACCGAGTAACCAAACTATTTTGTACCAAAC